ATTGATTTTTTTTTTTTTTCAATGTGATACTGCCAGTAACTTTATTAAATTTATATATAGGGAAATACAAAGTAAATCGAAAATAAATCTATGTTAAGTACTAGCTATCTCCCGTAGTTATATTGCAAACCCATTTGAATCGACCTATCATTGTCTTTTCCCTTCATTATAAATTGATTAACACTAAAATTTATATAAATAGAATAGTAATTTTATTATAAAAACTTAACAGAATTAGCAATCCTAATTTAGTTAATAATAACTAAGCTATTATTGTGAGTTATACTGCAATAACCATAGGTTTAGATCTCAGCTGAGGCATAAAATTAATGATTTTCTTAAGAATTTTATATATAACTGAATATGTGAGCATATATATTAATATGCGTTTGTAATTAATTGATCTATTAATCAATTGATATTGATTATGCTTAAATACTAGATTTAAAGAATATATAAATGCAAATAAAGCTAGAAATTAATAGAAACTTAACTTTTATTGATAGGTTCATAATAGATATTATCTCACATTTTCAAATTCAGAAATCCTTATATAAGTAAGAAAATGGTTAATCAGTAATTAATAGATTAGATACTACTTTTAGTTGGCTATGATGATAAAAAATTGCATTGCATATCATCATCTAATTAAACTATCATTTGGGATAAAACTCAGATTCAATTTTTGTGTGATTTTGATAATATGGGTATGGCAGTTACCTACCTTTCTAAGATTCTATAAGGATGATAATATCTAAAACCTTTTCGGTCATGTGTAATATATCCTGATATTGAACAAAGGTAATAGTAATTCTGATTTATATTGGTAAGCGCAGAAAAAGTGACATAAGTACCTATAGCTGAAAGTGATTTCTCTATCCAAATTTAACATTTGTTCTAAGGCCTAGAAGTCCTAGAGGTTCACTTTTAGAGGTGTTGTCTAGATGATAAATCTTAAACTAGTATTAAAATAAGTAGATTTTGGTTAGAATTAGTATTTAATCATGACCTTATAGATCTGAAAATTAGCATTGTACTATAATCAGATCTCCATATAGTCACCTATTTAGTTTCCTTAAAATTAGTGATTATATAAAAGTGTGACTGTAAAAAATACCCTCTATACAATCACAACCATATTAATAAATCATATGCGGTAATTATATAAAATTTTTTTTATTAGATATTATAAAACAATAGTTAATTTTTAAAATGTAACAATAATCAATTTTAAAACACTTTATTAAATGCAACAATAGTTTTTTAAAGCACTTTATTGTAAATTTAAATGTAATATAAATGCTATATAATATTATAATACTATATAAATGTTATATAATTTATATATTAATTAACCGCTAAAAAAATTTGTAATGGAAGTTTGCTTCTGAGATTATAATTCAAGTCGTTTGATTATCTTAAAATATTTGTTAAAGATTTTCATATATACTACACAAAACTTATCTGTTTACTGTTGCTCAAAGAATGTGATTTATGTTTGTAAAAATTTGAGAGCATCATTTAAAGATATTGACATTTGTTCTTTTTCAGAATCATTATCTTTATTACTTTTATTATCATTATGCATTTTCTTTCTAACAAGTTTTTCATCTAAAACATCTTTAATTAGGATTCCCTCTAAGTCATTAAAAAAATTATTTAATGCATTTACTAACAAAGTTGCAGAAGGATCATTCGTATTGAGATCTGTAATTATTTGATTAATATCCACATCTTCTTCTTTAGCTTTTTCTTCTTAGATTTGTATTATATCATATATATCTTCATTAGATAAAGAAAGAATCCCAGTTTTTTTTCTAACAATTTTAAATTATTTTCTCAATTACACAACTCTATACTTCTACAATATAGTTTATTGTCTCTTTAATACTAATCTTCTTTTTGTTAATATCTTTTTCATCTTTAAAAGATCTAGCATATGATGACAGTATTTTCTCTTGAAATAGCTCTTAAAATTTGCAATTATTTCAGCATCAAGTGATTAGAGATGGTTTGTTGTATTTGAAGACAAAAAAACAACTTCAATATGAGTTAGCTGCTATTAAAAAATATTTGATCTGCTATTATGACTACCATGGCCTTTTGACTCTTCATCATCACAACTTTCTAATTCACAACTATGATCACCTTTTGATCCTCTGTCATAATTTCTTGATCCTTCACTATGATTTTTTGATCCTCTACCACGACCTTTTAATCCTCTACCATGATCTCTTGATCCTCTACCATAACCTTTTAATCCTCTGCCATGATCTCTTGATCTTTCATCATAACTGCCATTTGAATTACTACCTGCAAATCCAACTTCACCATCACTGTCTTCATCTTGTTCAACTTCTAAAGTTGATAAACTATATGGATTGAAATGTGATAGAGTATTATTAATTAGAAGTAAAATCTTTTTATTTTGTATCCTAAAATAATTGTTTATTTCACGAAGCATCTCTTCAAAAACTGAAGAATTCATCCATACCTTCAGATTTGTATGATAATAAATTAGAAGGCATTCTAAATTAACTTTTGAAAGTGATCTTGAATACTTAGCATTACCAATTATCTATAGTTTGAGTTTATCTGTTTCTGTTGCATTAGAGCTAAGAAGTACAGTGATTCTTGACTTGTTTTTTTTTCAGCCAGAAACAGGTTTAGTAGAAAGAGTATGGTTATAAGACATCTGATAGAAAAGATCTTTTGTAATAATAAATTATATATTAGTTTAGAAAATAATAATAAATAAAATAATATGTAAATAAGATAAAATAAACTTATAGTTTTATTAATATTGTAAATTTTATCAAGAGTATACTGGCCTAAAATTAATTGCAACCTTGCTCATTCCTCTAGAAGTAATACTAATGGCATACTTTCTGACTCTTCATGCATATGATATTTATAAATATTATTACATTTTTTGAATTTATATAATCAACCATTAGAAAACATACACTCATTTTCTTGTATATTGAGTGCATTAGTAAAAAATCTTGCCTTTTCTTTTTTATTAATAAATCTGTTAGAATGATCCTATTTATTGTTACATTTTCTATCCACAAATTTATAACATAATCAAATTCTAGAAATTTGACTCCTTTATATCTAAAAATTTCCTTAGAACCTTCTTCTATCACAGAGATTCACTTTTCATTTTTTTTCAATATTTTGATACAGTACTGCATTCAATATTTAAAGTTGAGTCTTTTTCATTGAAATAATCTGCAATTTCCAAATGTGTTTTATTTTTATTATTTTATGACCATTCATAAATTTGTTTTTTGAGGTTAATACTTATGGTTAAATAGTGCTGTTTGGGTCTGTCAGGTCTGTCAAGAGGCATTATAAAAAAGACAAAAAAAAGGTTGCTTGAGAATTGCTTTGAAAGGATTCTTGAAAAGCTTTTAGTGATAAAGCTACGATAACAAACATCATAGCTATTAATTAATATGGAAAAATTACCACTATAGGACAAACGTGAAAACTGTGTAAAATTCAAAAAATTTAAAAGAATTGCTTTATTTTTCAAGTATTACAAATTATTATTCTATTTTTAAGCTTTTACTGAAATATGTTACATTTTTACATATTTTACATATTATATTTTTATTTATTACATTTTTTTATATATTACAAAAATATAAATAATGAATTAAATTTATTTAATCTAAGCTAATCAGAAATTTTGTGATTATAAAGAAATCAAATTACTAACAAAAATTATATATATATTATAAATATAATGTGATAGTGACTATTACTAATTTGTGATTATATAGAAGTATTTTAATAATATTAAAATCTGTTTTATAAAAATAAGTGCTCATAAGGAGATGTGACTGTATAGGAGATGATTGTATAGAGGTCTGACTATACTTTATAATTCTAAACATACATATAATCGCTAATAAGATTCCTAGTATCTCAGGTACTACAACTATAAAAAAAATTATAAAAATCACTTTAGAGATCAGTATCTCTAATTCAATTAGTAATAACTGAATTTCTATTATAGGTTACATTACAATAACTACAAGTTCAGGTTTCAACTGAAGCATAAAATTAGATTAATTTATAAGAATTTTATATGTAATTAAATACATAAGCGTATATACTAATATGTATTTATAACTAGTTAATAAATTTATTAATCAGTATTGATTATGACTAAATACTGAATTTTGAAGAACAAGTGGATACAAATGAAGTCAGAAATTAATAGAAACTTGACTTTTGCTGATAAGTCTGTAATGAATACTATTTATATTTTCAAACTTAAGGCCTTTATATAAGTAAGAAGTGGTTAATCTGCAATTAATAGATTAGGTATTATCTTTAAGTGGCTATAGTGATAATATATTGCATTACGCTGCTATTAGAGCTTGCAATAAGCTGAGTTATTTGCAAGCCAAATGAGCCAACTCATCTAAACTCAATTTGAATCACTATAAAATAAATTGTAAGTTAGATAAGCCAGCTTATACTGTAGCTTAGCTTGTACTGTAGTTTATTTGTTAGTTTATATTTTCTTCTTTAAAGTAAATAAATCTAAAAGAGGTTTTTCTTTGAAGAAAAAATATTCTAATAGCATTTACTTAAAAAAAATAGCTTTAGTAATATTTTCTTTAAAGAAAAATGAATACAGTGACATTTTCTTTAAAGAAAAATGTATTCAGTAGCATTTTCTTAAAGAAAAATACATTCAGAGCTGAATTTCTTTAAAGAAATTCGCTTTTAGAGTGATTTTCTTGAATGATTTTATTTCTAAAGTGATTTCTATAAAGGATTTTGATTTCAGATGCAATTCTTTTAAAGGAAAAGCCATAAAGATGATTTCCTTCAAAAAAATCCCTCCAGAAGCAAAATCCTTTAAGGAAATTATTTCAGAAATAAAATTCTTCAAAAAAAATATTTCAAAAACTAAATCTTTTAAGAAAAACATTCTGAAAATAAAATTCTTTAAGAAAAACATTCTGAAAATAAAATCCTTTAAGAAAATTATTCTGAAAATGCTTGGCTTAGCTTGTCAATTGATTTCTTAAGCTGAGCTAAACTGAGCTGAAAAAAAGTGGCTTAACTCAAGCTAATGGTAAGCTAAGCTAAGCTGACCATGCAAAGCTTTAGCTGCTGCAGTATTATCTAATCAAGCTATCATTTAGGGTAGAAATTGAGTTCAATTCCTAGATAAATTTAATAATATAGATATGATAGCCACCTACTTTTTTAAAATTCTATAAAGATGATAATATCTAAGCCTTTCTGATTATATGTAATATACTCTAATACTAGGCAAAAGTAATAGTGATTTTAATTAGTATTAGTAAACTCAAAGAAAAAGTGATGTAAGTACTATAGTTGAAAGTGATCTTTTTATTTAAAATTTGATAGTAGTTCTAAAATTTTAAATATATTAAAGTATAATGTTCTAGGATATTGATCTAGGTAGTAGATTTTAAATTAATATTAATAAGCAAGTTCTAATTAGAATTTGAATCTAATTACAATCTTAAGGATCTTAAGATTGTGTTGTAAAGTTACTTTATATTCTTAAAAGTATAATATAATCATTATATAGATTTCTAATATTTAGTATTAAAACTTTAAAAAAAAATTATGAAAATCATTTTTAGAAACAAAAAATCTTTTTGCTAATCAAACATGCTAAATAGATGAAATAATAAAAATACTAATTATAACTGTTCTATATCATTAGTTAACAATAAACTACTAATAAAATAGACTAATACTACTTAAACTTTAGAACTTAAACCCTTTTCTTCAAGTATTTTAATCACTTAAAGTGTAAAAATAAATATGAAAATTGACTAATTACTCAATGATACCATTTTTAAAATCTTAATAAAGAAAAATGTTAAAGATATTTTATCTAATAATATTATGAAAATAATAAATATAAAAATTAATAAATCTTTAGATATATCTGAAAATCTTTTAAATACTTCTTTTGTAAGTTTTGTTATATTTTTAACTTAAGTTATTAAAATTTTCATATATATTCTGTTAGAAAAATATTTAACATTTAATTCTTAATAGAAGATCTTAAAGATCATTGACTTATATTATGATAAATGCAATTTATTTGTAAATACTAATATTTCACACTAATTCAAATTGGATCTATCAGATTTAGATCTGATATGATCTATTAGATTTAGTATCCTTATTTAATTTTAGATCAGATTATTCAGATCAGAAAAAAAAATAAAATTAAATCTTAGCTAAATTGAATATAATTTGTACAACTCAATCAAATTATGTTATAAACAATAAATATAATTAGTTACTAAAATACATCACGTTAGTTTATTAGGATTAATTAAACATAAACACCTATTTTTGTGAATCAGTTTGACTGATTGCTAATCGATTTAATAACTAATAATTTAAAAGTATATTTTGCAGTCAATCTGATTTGATCTATAATTAAATAGGGTTAGATTCAGATTCAGATCTAATCCATTAGATTTAAATACAGATTTAGATCTAATTTATCAAATTTAAATTAACTTCTTTTAGAGTTGAAAAGTTCCTTTTATTGAAAAGGAATGAATTATCAAATCTCTTTTAAAGTTAAAAAAATTTTTCATTAAAAAAAAATGAATTTTCAGATCTTTTTTAGAGCTAAAAAGATTTTTTCATTAAAAAGAAACAAATTTTTTAGATTTTTTTAGAACTAAAAGGTTCCTTTCATTGAAAAGAAATGAATTTTTAGACTTCTTTAGATCTAAAAAGTTCTTTTTATTAAAAAAATAACAAATTTTTAGATCTCTTTTAGAGCCAAAAAATCATTTTTAATAAAATTTTTTAAATCTGAATTAGATCAGATTTGGATTTAAACTAATTTGTTAAATCAAGATTTGAGATTCAATTTATCAGATTCAAATCAGATTTAAATTTCAATAGATCTGTCAAATTTATATCAGAAAAATGAAAACTAAATCAGATCAGATTTGATCTGATTTAATTTTTATAGAACATTAGTAAATGCTATTATAGGAAAACACCCTATATGAACCTCCTTTGCAATAGAAAGAGAGAAACAGCTGAAAAAATAAAAAATGGACTAATAAGAATATTTAATATAATGTAATTAAAGAAACATTTTTGGTATATTAAAGTAAGACAGGTTATATAATAAAAATTTTAAATAATTCAAATAATTCATAAAAAACTGCATATTTATTTATAGATTTAAAACTACCTAACTTATGAGTTGATGTAAAATCATGCAACTCATAATTTAAAAATTATTTATAGTTTTACAGATAATTGCGAATCTCTAAAAGATTTCATAAAGAAATTTGCAATATTTT